TCCCCAGTTTGTGGCTTCCATTTTTACCCTGTTGGAGAAGTTTTTGGATGTGCACAGAAATTTGATTCTTAGAAGGTCCAATTCATCTATTTTATCCTCTCCTGGTAGTAGGTTTTTCAGGATGTTTGGAAGACTGTTTATGTTGTGCATTAGTGATTCTAGAGTTCTTCGAAGCTTTTCTCTAAAGAAGTTTATAGTCCTTGGTTTTAGTCCTAAGTCCTTGACCCACTTTGAGTTAAGTTGGTTTTTGTGAATGGTGTGAGGTGTGGATCTTGCTTGAGTTTTCTACAGATAACTTGCCAATTTTGCCAGCACCATTTATTAAAAAGGCTGTCATGTTCCCACTTAACTGATTTCATCTCCTTGTCAAAATACAGTTGACCATAGGCAGATGGTCTGATTTCTGGGTTCTCAATTCTATTCCATTGATCTGTGTCTCTCATTGTGCCAGTACCATGCTGTCTTGACCACCACGGCAGTGTAGTAGGATTTGAAATCAGGGAGTGAGATGCCTCCTATCTTGTTTCTCTTCTTAAGGAGTGCTTTGCTTATTCAGGGCCTCTTCCCATTCCAAATGAAAGCAGTCAGGAAATCAAAAGATGAATTGCATTGGGAAAATCTGATGTTTGGGACCTCTTGAGAGTGCTGAAAAGTAACGATGTCAGTCTGGAGACTAAGGTGTGCCTAATCTAGACCATGCTCTTTACAATTACTTGCTACGCATCACAGAGCTGGACAATGACTAAGGATGACTGAAGATGAATCAATCCCTTTGAATTGTGGTACTGGAGAATAGTATTGAAAATACCATGGATTGGCAACAGCAAACAAACAAACAAAAACACAAATATGTCTATCTTGGAGAGGGTGGAAAATACCATTGATTGGCAACAACAAATAAACACACAAACAAAAACACAAACAGGTCTGTCTTGGAGAGAGCGAAACCAAGTTTCTCCTTGGAGGGTAGGATTTTGAAGCTTTGTCACACATACTTTGGGCACATGGTCAGGAGTGACCAGTCCTTGGAAAAGTACATCATTCTTGGAAGGGTGGAGGGACAGTGCAGGAGAAGACGACCCCGAGTGAGATGGATTCATACAGTGACCGGGGCAATGGAAGTAGATATGTTGGAATTAGTGAGACTGAGGCAGGACGGGGCTGGCCTAAGTGCTGCTGTACAAACAGTTGCTATGAGTTGCAGGCAACTTGATGGCACATAACAATAACAACAAAAAATGAGAGAAGAAAGTAGCAGCAAAGACAATGAAGAACAGTTAGCCAGTAGAAAATAAGGATTATGGAAGCCAAAGAAATTATCAATTGTTTCAGATGCTGCATATAGATCAAGTAAGATGAAGATTGACAGGTTGTCATAGTAGTTAGTAAGGTACACTGGACATTCGTGACTCCCCACTGGACATTGGTGACTTTCAAGAGTGATTTCAGTGAACTGGAGGGAGCCAAATGAAATAAAAAGAGGAGTGCGGAAATAGACCAAACAATTCCAAATGGCTAGCCAGAGGCACAGCTAAAACCTTTGTTTTTTGCTAGGTAGGCAGTGGCAAATTGTTGAACTATGCTCTCTGTTCCTAAGTGTCACACATTCATCTTTCTCTTCCTAACATGTATCTCCTACTGCATCACATGGTAAAATGAAAGCAATTTGGTTCTGCTATCAAAGTTACCTCCTAATCTCTTTGAATAATGCTATGTTAAAAAAATAAAATTATTACACTTAAGAGATTCCCCAGATTCCTTAGCCACTCATTTAGCATTTGACACCACAATCTCAAAGACACATGGATCAAATCTAGCAGATCCTCTGCAGGATAAAAATAGACAATCTTTATCTATTGACCACTCTATGCAACAAATAACTAGTCAGCAAGGCTTCCTACTCTTCCATAGATCAATTAATTTAAAAGAATTTCATCATTCTATTAGGATTAAAATTCAGAATTCTAAAGCTTTTATTGTTGTTGAGTATCATCATATGGTACCATAAATATTTAAGAATAATAAAAAGTAAAATTATCTACTATCTATATAAATACTGTTACTTGCTGCCTAAACTATATTTACATTGAATTTTAATAATAAAAATAGTTCTCTAGAGTCAAAAGTATTTTTCCATCAAAAAGAATAACATGTTTATTTACACAATACTGATATTTGATTGCATTGAGTGTCATATTGATTTAATCTTTTGGCCACAGAAAAGAATATTTCTCATTATTTTTTCCCTTCCTTTTTTTGGTTGTGAATGTTAATTTTAAAGAAGTGTATAATAATTTAAAAATCTGATAAAAAGTAGTCAGTAAGCTTAGACTGATAGATAGCTTCAGTTGCAATGCTTTCCTGTGACAGCATGAGCTGAAACCCTGAAACATGTCCATAATGAAAACATGTCAAAAGACACAAGACTGTCAGAGTTTTCCTAGGGTGTTCCAGTCAGCCAGTGGTAGGCTTAGCACTGACAATTTTTATCTCTCTTCAGACAGACACCCCTAAGTTGTCACCCCACTGGAAGTCAGGAAGTATGCTAAAGAATCCAGTGTGGTTGGAATTGCATAGTATTGTTCCAGTGGATATATCTCATCCAATGTTATGATTTATTTTGAAGGAGAAGGGGGGTGGGCGTGGAATGGAAGGAAGCCGCACAAAACATAGCCAAACAGCTGGCTGGTTTTATATCCCAGAAACAGCTTGGGACTAACTATACTTGCAAGCTCTCTTGGCAGGGTAACTTGATGAAAATACCAAAGCTGTGAGGAGCAGTGTTCTTTTGCTGAATCCTTTATGTAGCTATCATATGGTTTATTAACCTAAATGTGAATATGTGCACCAATTTTTAAAGTCCCTATTTGCTTAAATTAGGAACTTACTGATTCCATATACAGCACAAATGTGGCTCACCATACCGTGAACATCCTATAAGCCTTAATAATTTTTAAAAAGTTTAATCCTAGAATTATTTCCTACTTTCTTTCAAATACTGTGTTGGGGCAGGCAAGGGTAAACTTGTTAAGACAGAAATTAAACATTCTTTAAATATTTAAGATTAAGAATTCAAATGTACTTAATGACTTGTTTGTGACAATATTGACCTATAAGAAAAACATTTTAATTGTATATGCATTTTTTATTATTGCATTTAATATTTAATTGAGGACTCTGTAAGCAATAGAGACAACATATTTACGCTGGGATTTGGAATACATAAAATCAGCTTCACTCTTTTCTAATTTAATACATTAAAGACCTCCAACAATATTTGGCACAATGCCCATAACAATGGGCTCAAGAATATCAGAGATGGTGAAGATGGCACAGGGTAGGTCAAGGTTCAGGTGTGTTGCTCAGAGGATTGCAGTGAGTCATGGATGATTTGAGGCTACCTAACAACCACCACATTCTTGGCACCAGCAGTCAGGTAATCAAAAGACAAACTACGTTGAGGAAATCTCTGTCAGGGACCTGTTCAGAGTGCTGAGGAGCAATGATGTTAGAGACTAAGGTGTTCCTGATTCATGCCGTTGACTTTGCAATTAAATTCTATGCATCAGAGAACTGGACAATGATGAAGGGACACAGAAGAATTAATGACTTTGACATGTGATGCCGGAAAATATATTCCACATACATGGGCCACCAGGAAAATAAGTAGTTCTGTCTTGGAGAGGGTAAAACCAAGTTTCTCCTTGGAAGCAAAAATTTTGAATCTCCATCTGATATACTTTAGACATGTGGCCGGGAGAGACCAGTCTATGGAGAAGAACATCTAGTTTGGAAGGGTGCAGGAGAGGAAGACCCTGGATGAGATGAATTGACATGGTAACTGGAGCAATGAGATTAGATGTTATTATAGAACCATTATATTTGTCATATCAGTTTCACAGTGTGTAGCATCACAGCAATCACAAGTTACCTCTGTACAGCAGATTGACAGACCAGTGATATACCACTGAGAAGAATGTTTGACCAAAAACAATTAAAACCAGTCCAGAGGGTTACAGATTAAAATTATCCATACTTCAAATCCACCAGCTGCCCCACTGGAGAAGGAAGGGCAATCTCCTCCCATGCAATTAACTGCCTCTGAAAACCCACTGGAGGGTCAGTGATTTAGATGTTACATAACAAAAACATCACAGCATTGTATTTCAGGATAGACCTTGAAATCGCCTTTTGGCTGTGAATGCAACTTTAGAGTTTTATAAAATTCTTTTACTTTTAAATTCTTGATATAGTATACTTTGGAAGCAGGAGTGACATCCACATCCTAAACAATATACCTCTGGAAACTCTATGAACTTTGATAAAAGTTGATAGTTATAGAAAGGTGTCAGGTCAGGCCTTTTGTTCATAGATTCACTATGAGTCATGCTCTACTTGAAGGCACTCAACAACATCAACAACAACATAGTATACTATGTGAATGAATCATTCAAATTGGCCCAAGCAAGTCCATTTTATCTCACTAATGCCTAGAATGTTGCTATTCATGTGTTCCATTTAAAGGAATTTTAAGGAATAGCCCACTCTAATATCATTTTCAAAATAGGAGAGAGAGCGCTCAGCCATCTTTGCTTCCAAAGAGCATCTGGCTGCATTTTCTTACTTATTTTCAGATAATAATTGGTTGGAAATCCTAGAAAGATAAAATTGGTAAGAATACCTCAGAACATAGGAATATAGCAGTTGTAGGATATTTACAATACCTAAGATTTAAACATTTTAACTGTATACATGAATAATAGATCTAAAAAAAATGCCTTGACTGTTTCATTACAATCCAATCAATAAACATGATTCTTCATTTGTGTAATTAAGAAAATAAAGGCTTCATTATTACTTAGTTTTGTTTTTTTAGTCCTTTAAGCAGTGGATAAACAAAAACGATACATATGTAATTATTACATTTTATACATTGTAATATGTGTAATTATGTACATTTGGATTAATTCAAATTGTTACATTTTCTTCACATTGTTTAGATCCACATCTCTTTGATCAATGGAAGACCAAGTGCTGATGACCCTTCCCCTGAACTTCTGGAATTTACTTCTGCACGATATATTCGCCTGAGGTTTCAGAGGATCCGCACCTTGAATGCTGATTTGATGATGTTTGCCCACAAAGATCCAAGAGAAATTGACCCCATTGTTACCAGAAGAGTAAGTTATAACAATCATTTTTTTGCATTTTCAGCCACTGTTTTGTCATTAAAAAGTTAAAAGGCATTGGTCAGTAGTAACTATTTATATAAAACACAATCTAAATGGGTTATTGTATAAAAGGTAACCTGTGTGAATGAAAGCACAATATATTAAAATGGTGGTATGCAAACCAATAAGAATAACTAAAAAACAGTTCCAAGGTAAAAAATAAATAGAAATTCCAATGTTATAAAGAAGTTTAAGAAGGGATGAATGCTCCAAAAGTGAATACATCACTTGTATTAGATTATTATCATGTGCTATTATTAATTGTGAATCCTGGGGAATTTAGAAATTATTAACAAATCTAAAGTTTATTTTTGGGGAAAAAAGAATGTATCAAGAAATATGTAAGTGATTTGTGAGAGAATTTGCCAAAATTTAACAGAGAGGCTTGAGTTCAGATAAAAGCACTACCTCTGCTTAGGAATGTAACCTTTATCAAAATGTTTAATATTTTCAATTAAAATTCCTTCCATATATAAAAGAAAGATTATAGTGATTAACTGTTGGTTTTATTTCTGAGGACTAAATGAAGATATTTTCTGGAATTAAATAGTCAGTACTAAGGCTGATTATACTCTACAAAAGAGCTCTGATGGCCTAATGATGAAGAGTTGCACTTCCAAGGCAAAGGAGATTCAAATCCACCAACTCTTCTATGAGAGAAGGATGAGCACTCTCCTCTGTACAATTTATAGCCCGTGGAAACCTGCTGAAAGGCCTGCTATGAGTCAGCTGTAACTGAATGGCATTGGTATTACTATGTAAATTCTTTAAGAGTTATTACTGAAGTGCAAGGACTTTGAAATATTTTTTACTATAACCTGCACTGAATTATATGTTCTACCAAGATCCAGTACATATGCACACATGTAAGTCACAAACGTGTGTGAGAGAAATATAGACAGATGGACAGAAGAAGAAAGAAACTTCTTAAAGGACCAAAACAATCAGCAGCTGTGGATTCTAATTTAGTCAGCCCAGGGTGAGGCAGAGCAGAGGGATTCTACAAATCCTCACGTTCCCACGTGATACACATATTGTTCATTAATTGACAATTGTGTCTAATCACGATTTTGTTTTTATGTTCCTTAATGAGTTGCAAACCATGATGTGAAAGATTTAGGAGAAAAACTGACTTCTTATACTCTTGTATATTTAATTACAGATAGATGATCACAAAGAAAAGTTTAAAGAATATTGTTGCTGTTGTGTACTGCTGAGTTGGGACTGAATGATAGCTGACCTTCTGGCAGATTTTCAGAGACAAATCACAGTGGAATTGACTGCCTGTCTTTCTCCCGTGGGGCAGCTGGCAGGTCCAAACCAAGTGCCTTTGAGTCGACAGCAGAATTCCTTACTGCTAAGCCAGCAGAATGCCATTAAAGCACATTATCAGCATGTATATGAATATACGCAGCTGTGTTAAGTATTATTTTCCAGTGGTCACCCAAAATTTGTGCTATTATGACACAATCATAATCCAGGTTGATAGGAGTGAAAGTTTTGCTTCCTTCATCATCTTGAATCAAGTGACAGTTCAACAAAAGTTGACAGCATTTTTTCTCCTCACCACCATGTACAATGGTTCAGATCACCTTACTTATATGTTACTACATACTATGAAAATATCAAAAGACTTAAATGAGTCAAATAACCATAAAGCAAATCCATACTAATTGAGTATCTATTGAATGATAAGAAGTGTAATTGGAAATCAAAATTCTGAGGAGAACATTTTAAGAGTAAAGTACTTGGTTGTAGAACAATTCCACCAAGTTGATGCTGTTCTGGAAAAAATATTAAAATACTGAACTTAAATATTAAAGAGCCACCTTTCACAAGATTTCTAAATATTTCTGTTTTTTTTTTCTCTTCATTTGACTTTTCTGTTTCTAACCTCTATGATCACAAAATAACTTTACAGATTTCAAACTCATGAAATCCATAGCACATGCTTTAGTTTTGTGGCTTTTCCTATTTTAAAATAGTCTTACTTGTAGTATATGCATACCTGTTGAAAAGTAATCTTGTCCAGAATAACTCATTGTTTATAGGAATGTTTTAGATTATTTACTTGCTTAAAAAATGGTTTTTAATTGTAATTTTGACATGGGAAAAAATACACTAGACAGACTGAATAATATGAAAATGAAATTTAATCTTTCCTGACAGTCTGGCTATCAGAGGGAGAAAAAAAATCAATGGTAGTAATCAATAAATTATTGTTCTTTTTTCATCAGAAGTAGGGTTGGAGAGCGTATCAGTTATTTATAACTGCATTGTGCATGAGCTTATAAATAGAATGATACAATTTGACATATAAGCAAGCTTTTTGTATTACTTCTTATGGCTGACATATAATCCATGTAAATTTAAATATGCCAAAATGGGATTTTTAATTTCATCTCCTTTTAATGACCCCAAGTGAAGTATTATACATTCATATTTGAAATAGGTGTCCATATTTTTAAAGAATCTGTAAATAATACCTTACCAACTTTCTGAACAAATTCATTTGTGTATTTATTATTAACCAATGAACTTGATTGAATTAAAAATCTTATTTTATGTTATCTAAACTTCCTATCTAGTTTCACTAGTTGAAAATATAATGGATGAAATAATTTAATAAAAAAAACACCAGAGGAAACTATATATAAACAATACAATCAATCAAAAGGAAGAAGAGATGGGAGAAAGAAGGAAAAATGAGCAAGGAGAGGTGTTGTAATCATGAAACTCAGGTGGTTCCACCTACTTGTTGTTGTTCTTGTTGTTATGTGCCATCGAGTCGCTTGATACTCATAGCGACCCTATGTACAAGAGCCCTAAACCCTGCTCTATCCTGTGCCAATATCACTGCCTCTGACACACCCATCCCAATTACCCCAGTCCCTGAATCAATCCACCTCATAGAGGGTCTTTCCCTTCTGTGCCATTCCTCCACTATCCCAA